GCCGCCTCCCCCATATTTATATTGGCAATTTAAGCAAACATAGTTGGTAGGGGGGGGGGGGCGGCTAGTAGTAGTAGTAGTGGTAGTAGTAGTAGTAGTAGTGGTAGTAGTAGCAGTAGCAACAGTAGTAGCAGTAGTAGCAGCAGTAGTAGCAGTAGTAGCAGCAGCAGCAGTAGCAGGGGTAGTAGTAGAAGCAATCGTCGTAGCACTAGCAACAGTAATAGTAGTAGGAGCAGCAGTAGTAATAGTAGTAGTACTGTAGCAAAGTAGCGGCAACAAGAAGTAGCGGCAAAAATAGCAGCACCACCAGCAGCAGCAGTAGCAGTAAGAGCAGGAGTAAAGAGCACAACAACGAAAAACTGAAGAACGACAGACACATGGTAAAAAAGAAATAAAGAAAATGATCATGAAAAAAGAAGAACCGAAGGAGAAACAAATGGAAAGCAAAACAAAAATGAGAAGCACATTATGCGGAAAAATATGAAAACTTAGGCAAAAACAAGCCCACTTTTCCCAACAGTTCCGATGGGAGCTGTTGTTCAGACCCTGGCTGTACCCAAGGTTGCCAGAAACCTCACAGCGGCTTCTGCAAATAGAAGGATGCTCTGTTCCTGCACAGCTGGCCGATGCAAGCCTTCCATGCGATGCACGATGACGTGACAGTAGGCAGCCTCCCGAAATACCTGCATGAAACGTCAAAACACTCAAAACACTCAAAATGTTCACGTCATAAGAAATATACACGTGGCCGCGCATTCCGTGAAGTAAACACAGAAGCTGCAAAAGAATGATAGATGCAATAATCTATGCCATGGGCGTGCGGCAGGCAGAACTGTTGACCCTGACAAAGGCTGCTACCAGGGTGCGGTGCTCCCAAGCTTCGGTGGTCCTCCAAAGGTGGTGGGCGAGCCCCAGGTGTGCGGTGTTACCAGGTTGTGTGCCTGGACGGGAGGGATCGACGGTGGGATCAACGGTAACATGCCCAGCTTCAACTACGATATGCTGATTGCTGATGATGCCCTGTATTTAGGGGTGGCCAGCTGCTGGGCCTCATCTAAGCCGCCCAGCATGAGGCACAGCCTCACAAACAGCATGATGATATGTTGCTTTCCTTTTTATGGACGCATCCGTCCGTCAGAACAACACAAGCGAGAACGCCCATTTGTTGCTGAGAGGCACAGCTGCAGCCGCCTCTGCTTTGTCCGCGTCCGCGCCTTTGGCAAGGAGTCCCGCAACCAGCAGCTGGGCGGCCTGATGCATCTACACTCCAATTCACCATGAAGGGGAAATTGTCTTCCCTGCCTTGCTGCCGGCTTGCTGAAGTTCAGGAATTCCGCAAGTTGAGAGCGGTGATCTTGAGGGCTCAGCCTGGCGGAAGGCCATCCCGAATCTTGACAGCGTCCTGTTTTGCAGCACGCGGTACACCCTGCATGTTAATTTCGGCTCAACTTGTATTTGCGCTCGTTCTCGAAGATTTCTCGTCTGCATCCACAGTCCCTGCAAGATCGTCCCGAAATCTAGCCTTGAATGGACTTGATGTGTCCTTGATGTGTTCTTGATTCATGTACAAGGTTCTGAAGCATGCAGTCGGCCTTGTACTCCATCACCTGGCTCCGAACTGGAACCCCATTTTTTTCCTGCAATCTACACGGATTTTTTGCTGGCTCGGGCAAGCAGCCAACAAAGTTCTCTGGCTCTTATGCACAAGACTGAAACCCGTCAGTCAAGGCTCAGCCAGCTTCAGTACCTTGACTTGTGGCTTCCACTTGCAAAGGTGGGTGATGTAAATCTTCCGGCTCTCGATTGTGCGTAGGTAACTTACCGCTCTGAGGTTGCCCCTAAATTTTGGAACTACTCAACAGGCAAGCCACGGCGTCAACCACGGATGCTGCAGCATCTGCTGCTGCAGGATCGAAGCCTGCTTCAGGTTCGGCGGGTCTCTTCCTGTCAGATGCCGGCATCTCACCTTGAATGATCAGGCCCACACATTTAGCTCTCACCTCATGTCTGGACGTCCTACTACAAGATAGCAATGAACTATGCCCAGCCGCTGATGATCTCAGCATCCACAATTTCCACAGCTCGCCGCTTTGAGCGTGGCGCTGCGCGGGAGCCAGAAGCCGAGCTCCTGCAGAAACCTCAACAAATGCCGTGGGAAGAGGTTCAAGCTCTCAACGCTCGCTGCACGTGACCTGGATAAGCCGCAGCTGCAACCGCCGCACAAGCTGCGGCTGGTGATAAGCAGATACCTTCGATACAACCAACAGAGCGGCAAGGCACAGCATGGATGTATCTGCACAACACCTGAACAAGCCACATGAGTGTACCTTGTATCAATCCACCACTATCTGTCATCTCTGCCTAGGCACCCGCCACACAAGGAACTTTTTCGCCCTGGACCCGCAGTAGTGGTGCAACGGGCGTAGCAGCAAACAATGACGGCGAAGCAAGTGACATGGCCGCGAGACTTGGGCCAACAGCTGCGAACAAACGTTTTATGTGAGCTATTTTGCGTCATTGGCAACATGACCATCCTGCAGCGTATTTTCTCTGCCCCCTCACTACATCCTCACGTGGCTGTGTCATGCTGCGACCCGACATCTTCCGCGCCCAGCGCCCAACATCGCAGAGTCTTTTCACTGCCCTCTGCACCACTCTACCGCAGCATCGGTGTCTTATTTTGGCCGAGGCATTTTGCACGTGCTTTGTTCGCTTTTCGGGTTCGTTGTTCAGAAGCCATGTCACCTTATGCAACCGGCCGGAGACCGTTTCGTGAAACTGTGGTAGCACAACACGATGTCACTATGCCACACCGAGCAAGGGCATGCTCACTCCTCCCCCCACCACACATCTTGCATCTCCTCTCAGTGAACTGCATTTTATGCATGAGGCAGGCAAGATGGAATGACAAGGCTGCCAAACCTACAACATGTGGTCAGTCTTCATTCTTCGATTCCACTGCCGCAAAAACAAAACAGTGTGTGGTCCTTGTAGGCGCACCGTCTACACAGATCGAACCAGCAACGGTTGCAATGACAAAAAGCATCTTGGGGCTCGAGTTCAACCTCCTCTGCTTCTGCCTGCAAGGCACAGCTTAGCCCAAAAGCTGTTCTCCATGAAGGTGCTGAGCTGGTGGCCGGTGGTGATGGCAATGATTGTTTGCCACGATGGCCATGACCATGGCGACCACCCATATGACCACCCCGCGACCACGACTACAACCACGACCCACGCGACAGCAACGACAACCACTACAGCCACACTGCTACGACCACAACGCTTACCACGGCCACCACGACCACCACCAAAATGATGACCACTACATCGACGACGCCATCGCCGACGAAAACGCCGACGAGGACAGCCGTGGCGGCTACGGCGACTGCCTCCTGCGTATGGTATAGTATACCGCCTCTGGCTAGTACAACTGTGATAGCTGCTGACATCACCTACCTGCTAAGTACTAAACTGCTAGCTGCTGACTGCATGCTAACTCGGCTGCTGCTACCGCTGCCGCTTTTTTTTTGCTCCTACTCCTACCCCTACTGCTACTGCTACTGCTACTGCTATTGCCACTGCTACTGCTACTGCTGCTGCTACTGCTACTGCTTTTGCTACGGCCACTGCTTCAACAACTGTTACCCTGACTCCTTCACCAATATTGACCAAAATCGAGGTTGCATGGCAATTATGAGCCAGAGAAAATCCCGTAACGCATTGTTTTCGGCTCGATATCACTTAAGTAGAGTCCCAGGATTTCCCTCCGTCTGCGGGCGATGGACAATGATGAATGACGATGGACAGCGACAATGATGAAGACGACCACCACCTCCACTACCGCCGCCACCGCTACCATCGCCCGCACGCTGAGGCCCTGTCCTTTATTAGGACCCTTGCCTTTCCAAACCTTTGATTAAAGAATTTAGAGATTGGTCCGCGCGCAACTCTTTGGGCATGGTGTATTCAAATGACACCCACGATAGCCCTGCTCCTACCTCCATGTTTTGGGTCATCAAAAAATGCTTTCAAGTGGACCCATCAGGAGCCCAAGTGTAACCCCACAGGGGCAAAAGCCCACTACAACCCTACAATTCATCGTGCAAAGATGCCTGGCCGAGCAATTCCCGCTTGCAGCGGTCACAGCTCACCCCGCCCACGTAGATTGCCGCCCTCGGTCGATGGCGTCGAAGTGGCATCGCATGCAAGCAGCGCGGACATAAGCACGTGCGAAAACCCTCCACGGCCGAAAGAAGGCCTTGAAACAGGCAAAAGTCTGATGGTGTGACGTGTTCGGGAATACAAGCTGTAAAAACAAAGCTTGCAGAACCAGCTCCTGCGACAGGTTGTGCTAGAGTGCCTGGTTCTTGCTCCCCTGCTGCTCGGTCGGAGTTGCCTTCTTGTTGCGGTGCTGCATCCAGTGTGTCATCCTCTGCGGAAGAAAGGACCGTCGGGAGCCCTTCAATCTTTCGCCTTCTGTCTTCCAGCTTAGCTTGCATTTCCGTCTTCCCTCGCGTCTTGGCACCTAAGGCACCAGCTGAGCCTGAGCTGGATGTGTGTCAGGGACGCAAATACAGACCGGATGAAGTAAACAGCAGGCAGGGTTTGCCACAACAGCTAAGGTCGTGACACAAGACAAAGGCAGAAACCAAAAAGATAAATACCTACAAGTCAACCACTACAACAGGCTGACAGTGAAAAAATATGTTGAAATACTAGGTGCTGGCGGATGCGGTGCTGGCCAAGCTGAGACGTCCCGAAGAAAACGACGGCGCTGCCGTTGAGCAGACAGAACCATCATCATCGTGCTCCCTCCTACCGAAAGCCTTGGCTGCCTCATCCGTGGCCTTCAGTCGTCCCTTGACTGTTCCAGCTTCAATAAAGCTCTCTCGCTGACATGCCAATGCAGCTGCTCTCAACTGAGCCGGCGGTGGTGGAACGGGCACATGGAAATCAAAGGACTGCCCACGGCGAAGGGGCTTTGTACAAACCAGCACACCGGCTGTTGTCAGCAACTTCACTTTGAACTCCCGGCCCTCAGCCGACTCTGGCCGCAGGGCCCATTCAATTCCTGGCTTGACATCAGCTGTGAGGACTGGCCTAACTTTTCCGTGAAACCATTGTAGTATTGGCTTCATCAGCGGTAGATCTGCCAGTGGAAACGCTTGCGCAGCCTTTGGGCGATGAAGCTCAACACGAAGCGGCACTTTTGTCCGGTTACGTACCAGCATTGATGCCTGACCGATTTTGTCCCATACATGACCAACAGGGACAATAATACAGAGCTCGTCAAGCTTCTGATTTTCATCCCATACAGGCTAGGAGGTTTGCTTTTAAAGCCTTTATGGGCCTACATAAGCTCTTAAACTCCTCCTTTACCCAGCTGCCTGTTTGATGGAAACCACCTTTGGTTTCCAGCATTCAGAAAAAACAGCACTGCATGCTACCAGAATCTCAGGTGAGTGTGATTACTTGCGACAACCGGATCGATGTGGAACTTGAATCCAGCCTCCTCATTCAGGACCCAAATCCAAGGCCAGGGTTCCGGAAGGGCTCTGGTCCTGCAAATTGCAGCTGCCTCTTTTAAACATCCGCTCACGCAACACGCCCAAATTTCTGCCAAGACAAGCTGCACCTGACGGCATCCAGGTGCACATCCAGACGACGCCAAGTAATCGGGCAGCCGCCGCTGGCCTTTTTCAAGCAGCGTCGAACCTTGCAGGCGAACGTCGCAAAGCTGCAGACACCTTTCCTTAGCTCAAGTAATATGTGGAATGTGACAAAACTCAGGTCAGCATGGGCAGCAGTCCTCAGCAGGCAGCAACACCAAAGACATGCGCCAACAAATAGGATTCCTAGGTCCTAGCATCTCCCGTGCCAGCACTGCGCCCTCGGCATCCTCAGCCTGGCCCATCCACCCAAGCGGATCAGACGGCCGCCAAGCGAGCGCAGCATCCAACAAACAAATCAATGCCAATGCTGCAGAACGGAACCTTGCGAGGCAGAACAACATGTTTAGTTGGGGCCTACAGAAAACCAGCATTGAAATCGGGATGGTTTCGTCCACCAACACTGAGTGACAATAATTGCTTACGCTTCTGGGCAACTCTTGCTCCTGATCGGGATTATTCTTCCATCGCTTGTGCTCCTCGTCGTCAATTTCATCTTGCTCTGCATTGGCAAGAGTGGGATGCAAAAGACGTGTGAACTTCAATGCGTGTGAAGCCTTCTCGTCCTCATCGAATACGTGATGCCGAGCAAGGGCAGCTACTGCTAGCCTCAGAGACCTTCGATCGCCATCAAGGAGGCTCCCTGTCGGACAATGTCGTAGCTCCATGAACTGGGTGACCAAATATGCAAGTGCCGCGCAAACTCCTTGCTTGCTGCGGACAGTGCCCCACTGAGGATTGAAGAGCCGCTCATACGCTTCGCTGCTTCCTGGCACAGATAATCCTGAAATTACTCCAGCATCGCGGGTTGTTTTTCCGCGCTTCTCAGTTTTAGTATTTTTGACGCGTCCACCCTGGCCGCGCAATGGCGAAGGTGAGCACAAACTGCGGATTTTTTTCAAATGTCTGCGATAATCCTTGTCCGGCTTGCAATCCTTGGGGATGTTGTCCAGGCCTCTGCCTCCAGAAAAACAATTCATCGCCAGTGATGCTGCACCATGCCGACTCCAGTGCTCTTCTTCATGCGCCAGACACCAATCCATGGCTTCCAACATTTGCCGGATGGCAAGCAGGGGTTGTAGGGACAGCGGGCTGCTCTGCGGTGCGTGTCGTTTCACATCCATCAAGCGCTTCTCGACTGCTAATCGGTCATGGCGATCCGTGAAGGTCTTGGCCGCCAAGGCACCAACAGTCGCCGACACGGCGCCAACGGCAACTCCGGACACACCGGCTGCAGCCGCACCAAATGTGTCAAGCAACTTGAGCAAGGAACCGCCCACCACTCCGGCTGAGGCAACCACACCAGCTTCCGGCACCACCTCCCAAAGCACATCCTGCATTGCCAAACCAACCCAATACGCCGGGCATAGCTTGAGAATTCACGCTCACCTTGCGGGAACTTGGGTGCGAAACATCCTGTGACACGTTTTGTTAGCAAAATGGATAACTCGGTATTGCAAACAGAATAGGTGCAAAAAGCCTTCGGGAAAATCAACTCATCTCCTGCACTCGGGAACAGAACATGACAGAAGCGTGACAACTTCACTGTGCCATATCAGCAATCAAAACCATGGCATCACCATGCATTTGCGAACTGCTTTCATTGTGAAATGTTGCAAGTCTCGGACGTGATGGATTTCAAACATCCTCCTAGCACCCATCAACACGATGAAAAGTTCATTTGTTCATAAGCACTTTGTACATGCAAAAATTGAGCGATGCAACAGATTCATTATGACTGTGTAGCAGCGGTAAACAAACACTGTAGCCAAGGAATTTGCAAGAAGTGCGTGTTTTTTACACCAGATGGCCTCAGTTTTGGACTAGCTGCTGCAATTCTCCAATGAGCGACAAAATGATGCACTGTGCGCACCTTCCCCTTGCAACGGAATACCCTTACAGCACAACTTCAATCTATTGCATCGCAGACTCAAATCAATCTAGTTGGAGCGACTAGTTGTCGTTGTCGCGTTGGACGTGCAGAGCCACAAAATCACCACCACCCGGCTGCTAGGCTTGCTAGCGCTCACGACCGCTCCCAAAGGAGGTTGTGTTTATTGGACATCCAACCAAGAAAGGCAATTTCAAACCGATTTTTTTTGTGAAGCAAACCTTGCTGTCCTCACAGACGCACCAGAGGAGGAGGTGCGGATGACGGTCCAGCAGGTTGCGGACGCGCTCAGAAGCTCCAAGCGTGGCTCCGCCGCGGGCTTGTCAGGCGCTACCATCGAGCCGTATAAGTGACGCCGAGGGCCTCGAGCTGCTCACTCAAGCTGCCAACCTGGTAGCCCGTGCAGACGTCCCATGCGCGGTCATCGAGGCCTTGGCGCTGTCCCGCCACACGGCGCTGCGCAAGCCCGATGGCGGTGTCCGAGGGATTGCCACTGCAAACGTCTTTAGACGGTTGGTGTCCAAAGTGCTGGCGCGAGCGTACGCTGACGACTTCGACGAAGCTACGCGGCCCTACCAGTTTGCCTTGACGACGCGGCTCTGCCACACACAGCTGTCGAGCTCGACCCGCGCGCCACGGTCGTCTCCCTCGACGGGCGCAACGCGTATGACTGCATCAGTAAGGCTGCCGTCCTCAGCAAGCTCCGTGAGGTAGCGGGACGGTGCGGGTACAGCACATGAGATACCCCAGGGCGAGGGTGTAAAGAAGGGCGACCCGCTTGCCCCGGCGCTCTACGCCCTTGGGCAGCATATGCGCTCATTGCGGCCAGTGCCCAACTCCAGCAGGATGAATTCCTTGCAGCGTTCCTTGCTGCGTTCGATACGTGGTCGCTCATGAGGCAGCAGTGGCAACAATCGCGCCTGCAAAAATGATCTCAGAATTATGATGATAAGCTGGTCTAAATGATATAGAAAGGAAAAAGAGAGAAATATGAAGCCGGCCGACAATAAAAACAATGAAGACACCACAAGAATTTTTGTTTTTGTCTTAATTGTCAAGTGTTTGTGCATTCTCAAGGGTCACTTGCGTCACATTCAGGATATTCAATGTCATCACGCTGGAATTCGCGCATCGGGCTACCATCGTTGCGATATGTTGCGATGAAACCGAACCATGCGTGCGTTCCTTTCCCTGCATGGGCCAAACGAACCTACAGATCCCGCCACATACGGAATGTTGGGAGGCATCGCGGGTTAGCAGCCATTTGCAAGGAGGCTTGCCATAAACAAAACGCAAAAAAGCTAATTCTACGCCCTTGAACAAATTCCAACAATAGAATAGAAGTGAAAACGGGCGACTGGTTGCATGCCCCGATAACGCTTATTATAGCCGATCAGTAAAATTCATTCATGATGCGCTAGCGGCTAGAGGTGTGGTGGAACAGGTTCAGCGAACGGAGGGACCATCGATGGTCCCCGCTGCGAGTCGCAGGCCTCCTTCCTGTCTACAAGAATCAGGCTAGCGGGGGAACCCATAGCCACACGTGATTGCTGAATGCGACAATCCGGCACCAAAACTAGCAGGCATTCATGGCGAGCTTCTTGATAATTTTTTTTTGCTCCTGCATCTCCATCGCACTCATCCGCCATTGCTGGCGGCAACTGCAACAAGGAGAAGGCTAGGGCTCGCTGGGCGGCCACGGCGATGATGCCAGCCCACCGGTGGCAAGCCGCTTGCCTCGTTGCAGCCCGGAGCCAAGCTGGCGCTGCTCGCGCCTTCGCGGCTGCCAAGCGGCGGAGGAAATCCGCCATCTCAGCGCCCACTTCCAGGGACAACAGGACCAGCCTGCAACGGCGGGCAGCCACGAGCTCGGGGTACGTGGTCTGGCGCTTACGCCGACTTGCGTCCGCAGCGGCTTTGCCAGAATTACTATTAAATTCCAAGCTTGGCTTATAAA